TCCCCCCCCCTCCCACCCTCAACCCACCCCCAACCCACCCCTCTTTTCTCCATCATGTGGAAGATGAAAGAGAAAAAGGAATGTCAATCAGTGATCATCAGATTTCTTTCCTTCCTTAGCTTCCTTCAGCTGTCGAAGTTTCTCCTTGTTAATCGCATTGATCCTCGAGAACTGCAGGCGGTCAAACATGGACAAGACGAGGAAAGAACGCCGAATAATCAACGAAGCAGCCATGCAAATAACCAAACACAACCAACCGACTTAGCAGCAGAATGCACAGTGCTTATCATCTCCGCTCCCTTTCTCTCTCTCCTTTTTTTACTCCCTCCCTTTTTTTCTCTCTCCTTCTTTTTTAACACAACCAACCAACTTAGCAGAGAATGCACAGTGCTTATCATCTCTGCTTTCTTTTTCTCTCCCCTTTTTTTTCTCCCTCCCTTTTTCTTCTCTTTTTTTTTTTCTCTCTCCCTTTTTTTCTCTCTCCTTTTTTTTCTCCATAGCTGTGAGATCGTGATTTTATGTTTCTCTCGTTGCGCATTTTCTTCTCGGAAAATCCAAAAATAGCACACAGCACATCTGGTTGCGCATTTTCTGCTTGAAATTTGAATTTCCCAGTCTCCAAAAATGGGCACACAGCAGACCTGGTTGTGCATTGTTTCTCTTTAAAAATTCAATTTTTTTAATTTTCTTTCCAAAAATTGCACACAGAACATCTGGTTGTGCATTTTCTTTTTAAAAATTCAAATCCCCAAAAAAAGTGCACAGCATATAAAAAACCCAGGTACATACTTCCTCCCCCCCTCTTTTCTTTTTTTCCCCAAAGGAAAGCCAACTTTCATTACCAAGCCCAAGGCAAATAGCTACATATAACTGCACCATTAAAAACCACCACTACTTCGCTCAGCTACTCTTCTCTATCTTTGGCCAACACCTTTCCGCCCCTCAAAACGCCCTGCGCGCCCAAAAAAGAACGAACCAGCGTGGGCCTTCTTTTGGCTGGCGCTGCCATTAATTGTTGCGAGGATCTGGGTCCTCGACAGGCCTAAGGGGCCCCGGTTGCAGTGGTGCCCGCTTTAAGTGGAGGCGGGCCTAACTTATTACAAGAGGCCTTTGACTGTCAATTTCATATTTGGGGTACAGGCAGTTGCGACGCGCCAGTTGGTTGAGAGAAACACAGGCCGAGCAACCAAGACATTTCCACGGCCTTCTGGGCCTTTCCTAAGCATGCAGGCCCTGGGCATGAATCGCAGCCTCATACATTGACAGTTGGGAGGCCCAACCAAATGAGGCGTGGGTGCTGCAAGTAGCACGCAGCATCCTGGGGCCTACCGGAAGCTTCTGGGCCCAGGCCAGTGCAGCCAGGCTGCGCGAGCAGGCCAGCTCTTTCCATAAAGGAAAGAGCTCTCCCCTGGCAGCCTCATTCAGGCACTCACATGCTAGCGGCAGCGCTGCTGGAGCAAATGCTCGTGGGCTGCTGCTGGCGCTGAGAGGCGAGGTGCAGCACGTGCGGTCGTGCAGGGAAGCAGGGCGCTGCTGAGGGCAGCGCCATAGCCCAACCACCATAGCTGGTGGGCTTGGACTACAGTGAGGCGCATGTTACATGCACAGATATGTGATGTTCGTAATAACCGAGGAACTGCAGTGTGATAAAAAGGACTGAAATGGACAATGCGGTGAGAGTAGAATCTCGACAGACAATGTGCATTCTCATACATACAAAAGTGCTGAATAGCGCAGGGAAGACTTAGATACAAAGACTGACCTGACAAGGACTGACCTCACACACGTAGTACAAGT